GTGATCTGAACTAGAACTCACACTGAGTACTAGCGTGACACCCAACCGAGTAATAATAGTCAACTAATTCGCTCAGCCTGGAGAAAAGTAGTCAAGTGGTAACCAGCAACCAATGTCAGGTCCTAAAGGTAACTCTATTTCTATTTTTAGATTATTTTAAAACAGAATGCAATGCAGCAAGGAATGTTCTATCCTATCTGCAGCTGTCTGTCAGTTGTCACCAAGTCCGTACAAAACTAAATAATCAAAAATAAAAATAAATTACTTGTGAAGATGCATGCTGGATGGTAGTTTGCCTAATTAGTCCAGCTGAGAATCTTCCCTCCCCTTGTATCCCTCTCGAGTAGTCACTTGTGTCGACGTCCTGAGCATCTGGTTGAGCAGCGTGTCCAAAGGTGTGCAATCCGGCCCACCCCTGTGCCCCAAGTCTATACTAACCCTGCCAGCCCTGCACCTTGTTTATTCTCGCATGCAACGAGCCTTACTTCCGGTTCATCCGGCTGATCAAGAGGCAGTTAAAGGACAGCCCCCAAGTTCCTCAGGAATTATTTAACGCCGCAGACAGGACGACGATCACAGCCAGGGTTCAACTGGAACCCGCCAGAAATATTTATAGACGGTCTGGTGAGCGTCTCTCATAGGGCTGGCATGCCCAGTATGACCTCTATTGCGCAGCAAACAAAACCAAGGACTTGCGGCAAAGCATGCGTGTACTAGTCCCAGTGGGTTGGCATGGTGACCGTAACCCGAGTGCTTCGTCCAGGGCCCTTCAGAGGCTTCACTCGTCTCCCACCAGGTTGCCCAGGGAGAATGTCGACTCTCAGGGTTGAGCGCTCGCGACACCTCACATTGAGAGGACTCTCAAGACAGAACTCACTTCCTCACGGTAAGAAGTAATGAAGAGGGTAGATAAGGATGAGAGCAACGTACCTCATAATGCTGCCCCCAACAACAGATTTCACACCGGCAACCTGACGTGCATTTATGACGTGCATTTATGTTGACCGGTCCTTGCCTTGGCACAACAAATAGCGAAATGCAGTTCCACCTCGGCTTAAATGCCACATCAGTGAGCTCTCATCATCCAGTGTACATCCCTATGTCACCTCATAGCCTTCCCAGCGATCCCACACGACCCTGGGCCGCCTATTGTTCAACGGCGAATCAACGCCCAAGCATTATCGCTGCCCCACCAATCATGCGAAGCACCGAACCACTATTGCGAAGAACCAACAAGTGTAGTTCGAACCAGCTCCGATACCAATTGCAAGGAAAATGAGCGATAGCGAGATGACAGAATCCATAATGCACAATCACATTGAAAGCCAGAAAGTCTCAGTGTCCAGAAAGCAGCATTGCACCAATAATACACCAATGGAGAATCGAAACACTGAAACCCAATGTCAATGAGAGCTTACTCTCGCTATCACCAACATAAGTGTCCAGGCCCTTCCCCCTACTTGGCGCTCGGCGCCCAGACTACTCCCCACACAGCTACTATCCGCCTACGAATTGACAATGCAACTGTTGACGTCAGCAGCCACCGAGGTACATGAAGATGTCGCCCAAAGCAGACCATCGCCAATACCAGGTATGAGCCCTCACATCATCATCCTCATCCCTACTTATCTCTCTCCCTCGTCTTCCTTCTTTACACCCGAAGACCACCAGTACGCCTTGTTGTAACACCAAGCCTCAGCCAGCTATGGAGGCTGAGCTATGGCGCTGCCCTCACAACCGCATGTGCACTGCACCGTGCTCTGCGCTAGCAGCAGCCCGCGAGCACTCGCTCCAGCAGCGCTGCCGCAAACTAGCATGTGCCCGAATGCCCAGCCAGGCAGCGAGCTCTTTCCTATATGGAAAGAGTCTGGCCTGGTCTGCGGCCTGGCTGGACTGGGCCTGCACCCAGAAGCTTCCGGTAGGCCCCAGGTAGCTGGGCCTCGTTCGGTTGCGCCCTCCAACTGTCTGTGTATATTGCTGTGAATGTGGCCCAGGGCCTGCTTTTTAGAAAAGGCCTAGAAGGTCGTGGAAAGTGCTGCTGCTCGGGACCTGGGTTCCCTCAACCCACTGACGCGAAGCAACTGCCTGAACCCCATAGATGAAATTGACAGCATTGGGCCTCTCGTGATTCGTTAGGCTGGGCTTCACTTAGGCCGGGCGCACTGGTATAAGGGGGGCCCTTATGTCTGCCGAGGAGCCAAATCCTCGCAATGTTCTCAATCTTAAAAATGAATCCAACAATTTTGAATATCGTAGGCAAAGAAATTGGCTCACAAAAAAAAAAAAAAAAAAAGCCTCATTTAGATCATTTTAGTATGTACATATTTCACGCACTCCACTTCTTATTCCCCATCGGATTCGTCCGGACCAGGACCGTGATTGAGCATATATATGTAAAGAAGACCCTGCAGCCGACCGATCCGGGGGTATGAGGAGGCGATAAAGCAGGCAGAAGATGAGAGGAGGGAAAAGGAAGGAAAAAAGGAAGAAAAAGTAAGGAAACGAAAGAATTGGAGGAGTAGAAAAGGAAACTGGAGGAGAAAAGAAGGCAGGTGGAAGTCGATGAGGAGAAGGAAGTAGAAGAAAAAAAGAAGGGAGGATGAGTAGGGGCAGTGACCGCAGTGGTCAAAGAAGAGGCGGCGGAGACCAACAACACCGGCCCTGTCAGATTTATATGTGTGAGGGAGAAGAGGAAGAGAGGCTGGAGACGTTTGGCTTGCAGAAGGAAAAGAGCCTGGCTGACCTCCAAGAGGAGGAGGACACCTATAAGGCCGTCCTGGCCGGTATTGGGATGAGAACGAGCGGATGGAGGAGGACGACTGGCGGATTGAGGAAACTCAATAGTGCTTTAGCACAGAAAAAGAAAGAATTCGCACAAAAGAAGAAGCTGTTGGAGGAGGGTGCAGCCATAGCCAGCAAGTTGAAGGAGGAGGTTAAGATTGAATGTGAAAATGAGACTGATGCAAGAATAGCCCTCCTCACAGAAGCCGCCGTTCACGCTGCAAATGAGACTGCCGGCCCAGCAGGAAGACTTTAAGGGAAGCCTGTGAAGGTGGCATAATTTTGCCGGTGCAACCCTCTGGAAGGTCAACGAGAAGACCGCAGAGCATGTGCCTGTGGTATAGAAGCGTATGCCAACAAGATGTTTGCCGATGGGGATGCAAGCAGACCCAGAGGAGGAGATGGAGGACCCCCTAATGGAGATGATGGGAATGGAGACGCAAGAAAGGGAAAAGGGAAAGGTAAGAAGAAGGAAGGACAGCATGAGGCTGGTAACGATACTTCTGCCCAACAGGCGGGCAGCACTGAGCGACTGGCTGAAGAGCCAGCCTGCATCCTTCCTTTCTGAGCATTGCTGCATTGTTGCTAATATGTCGGAACTGTTCAGATATGCTGGGTCGCTCCTCAGCCGAAGCCGGGTAATGGCCCAAGTAATTGTCAGCATTCCTTCAGTGTATCAGGGACATCCATTTTCCAGCAGGTGCGGCTCCCCACCAATAGACTGGAGCGACTGGAAGCCGGGCTACTAGAGGAAGGGGCTCATATCGCCCCCCCTCTAGCACATCTCGGACCAGTAATTTTTCATAAAAAAAGGACCCTTTTGTCAGTCGAGTCCAGTCAGCAGCAAAGTCCCAGGAAAGTCCGCAAACTTCTGAAAGCTACAAACACAAGCAGGGCACCGAGCCCATAACCGATCTGGGGAGTCCTGAATGCAGATCGGCGTGTGCAAAAGTCCAGTCGTGGAAGTCCGGATTGATCCACCCCMCCCYCCCCCCCCCAAAAAAAAAAAAATCGTTTATATTTTTTTCCTTGGATTTGGGTACGGATTTCCAGACGATCCTCGGCCAAAAGATTTTTGTATTGCAATGCTGCATACCATATCTTTTTTCAGATTTTTTTTAAATTCTTTTTTCATGTCGGGATTTTTTTCCTTTTTTGGGTGAGTGCGTTTGCAGTCACTCTGGATCGGAGATTGGATCCAGACATCCGGACCCAGACCATCCGCACAGCGATCCGGGCGTGCGGATCGTAATCATGGTAAGAAGTGCTTTGAAACCAACCATTCACTACACTTTCACTCCATGCACACACCAAATGACACGCACACACACACACACACACACAAGGTAAGGTTCTGAATAGATATTGACTTCACAAGCAAAACTGTCTCATTGGTGGATTGGCTCATCTCGATCATGCTTCATTGTCTGCAATATAGCTAAAGTTGCTATGACTTTGGATCTACTCATCTGGGCGGAATAGAGGAAGTTGTGGTGATAATTTGTAACACACACACACACCGAAACATGTGAGATGTAACTTGAAGATAGTATCCACCAATCAACTCAATTGCACATAATTGTCTTCGTACAAGAAGTGCGGCTATGGCCGCCAACAAGCTCTCACAGATATATGGTCTCTACCTCAACCTCACTGCTCTCAACCTCCAAGTCCCACCTCTTTCAATACGCCTGGAGTGTCTCTCTCTTCCTTGCTCATCTACCCCAGTTATAGCGCCCAGAGTCGTTGACTACTTCCTACAGAACAGCGCACTCGGCAGCATCCCCAAAATAGCGCACAGCATACTATCCTGAAATAGTGCAGCAGCGCTTCCGCATGGACTCGCAAGTGCGTCCGGCCAGACGTGTGGATTGGTCTGGTGTGCGGATGCGGCGTAACCATGCTTCTTGCCTTCCATTGTCTGACATGGGCTATTCATCCACACATTTATTCCATGCACGTACCTATGGCTGTCTTGGACTAATACTGTTAATGTATCCAAGCAGTCGCAATGATCTCCCAGATAAACTGTGGGACAGAGGGGGGAAAGGACAACCAAGAAGGGGATTGCACGTCAACATAGTAATATACCATTGCATATACTGATGAGTTTGCCAGATGCATATACGGATGAGCTTCCCAGCTTGCATTTAAGTTTGGATTTTTATTTACTCTAATGAATTACTGTCTTCTTTTGTTTCGTCTGTTTTGCATGGCAGGATTGCTGTGCCGGGATGATAGCGTGGATGGGCTACGCTTCCACTATAACTTCTTTAAAGAAGTCCATTAAGTTGCTGGTGCCACGAGTTTTGTCTTTGTAGTAAAACCCACTGCTAAGCAGCCCAATCAGCACCTTGTGGCAAAAGCATTTCCAGTGTATTTCATTGCTCGTCTCCTTTCACCCCACATGATGGGCAATATAGACATGTCCCAGAATCCAATATGTATCCTGCTGGCTATCTTTCCAGCTGTGCGGCGCTGCAACGTCCCCTCGCCACCCTCCCTTACTCCTGTCCTTACTCCCTTATTGCTTTTATTGTCACTTGGAGACTCGCGCGTCTCAATCCAGTTCTATACACCATCACCTCCCTGGAGTCTCCTCTCCTTGAGGATCTCTCCATGCAGACGTGAGTAAGATGGGTAGATGTGGAAGGATAGTTGATAATAGGCTGATGCTGGTTGCAGGGGTGTTGGGGAGGATCGAGAGACAAATGGAAAGATAGATAGATAGAGAGAGAGAGAGAGAGAGAGAGAGAGAGAGAGAGAGAGAGAGAGAGAGAGAGAGAGAGAGAGAGAG